AGAGGCCAGTGTGCACCTTTCTTTTGAAAGAATTATAGATACCCCAAATACCACTGATTCAGAACTGCATAAGCCCTCGGAACCCTCCAATCCTCTTGCCTGCCCCTCCCCCAGCTCCTTTGCCAGCCACGTCCACTTCCTCCCTCACCTCGTTCATGCCCCTGAAGTGGCATCACTGACTCTTAGTCTTGTTGTCTTTTGGGCATAGAGTAGGTATCCCAGGGAGAAGCACTGGTTTGTTCAACAGTACCCATCCCTTGCCCTTTTTGTCCTTGTCTTGTGGCAAAAGAGAAAGCAATATAAAAGAATATTACAATAAAAATAAAAGCTTCTCTGGCCACTGATGTTGGAGAAATGGAGCCATAGAGCTTTGTCCAGCCTTTATGGCAATGATGAACTCAGAGTTTAAATTAAAATGATAGCTTTGCCACTATTAGCTGTGTGACTTTGGGAAAAAAAATAATTCATTTCTCTGTATTTCATAGAGCACATGAAATAAGAAACGAGGAGAGTAAAATTCCTCCCTCATAGAATTGTTGTGAGAATTAAAAAGTTAATAGATATAAAGCATTCAGAGTAGTGTCTGTCTATATAATAAGCCTGATATAAATGTCAGCTATTTCTGCAGTTGTTTGTTCAGGTAGAAATGAAGAACAACAAAGATGAAGCTGGAGTCCTCCCTTCTATTGTGATTTAAGTGTAGTTCTTCTTGTTCAATCTTCAGGAAAACAACTGACTCACTCTATTCACCTCAAGGCATTCACATGCCCTTTCATTGATTGCGTTTTCTTTATAGCTAGCTACCCATCAGCCAGTTGAGGCGATTATTATACAGCCCCTTAGCTTTCTCTGCTCTACACTTGATAGTTTGACATCCCTAAAACCCATCTCATATATTTTCATAGCAGATGGTGGATTACAAAATTTTACCCTAAAGTGACAGCCCACAAATTTAACACTAATAACACTGCATAAGCCAGGAGCTGCCCAAATCACAGAGCCAATAAATAATAACCGAGGGAGTTAACACTAATTGAATTAGTCTGACCATACCCCAAAATACAAAATTATATGTATTTTATATATTTACACTATGAAGTGGCTATCTTTTGAGAAATATTTATACTCTCATGTAATTAAAAAAGTAACTTCTACGTGAAATACAATGATGCCCAGTTAGGCAGGATTTTTTAAATGTGGCCATTTGAAACTCCTGGCTCCTTTTCTCTCTAGGCAAGCCCACTTATTCCACTTGGTCAGCATTTTTTGTTGTTGCTACTCAAGGAAGAGACTTGAAGGCCCCTCATCCCACAGGTTTGTCACAGTAATGCTGAGCGGCAGTGACAGAAGTCATAGCAGATGAAAAAGGAGTCTCCCCAGGGACAGATCAGAGTCTCCAGTTCCTTCTTTACCTGGCACTTGGACACAGAACTGGCCTTTTTCGACTAAGTAAGCCTTCAGGTTCATATACATTTTATTGGAGGCTAGGAGAGAAATACATGTAGTCCTGCTAACTGGAGCAAAAAGGAGACCGAGCAATTACAATGCCTATTAAAGGAGATAGGTGTTATAAGAAAGCAATGGAAACCAAGAGAAGAGAGGGGTGCCAGCAGAGCAGAGCGATAAACAGCGTCCAGGGCTGCCTGGATTTAACAAGATCACTAACAATGCTTTTTTGCCGTCTCTTGGATTAGTGGTTTAAATCTTCCACCTTGTGAGCGCAGTTTCAGTGGGAAGGTTGAGGAAGAAGTCAGAGTTCAGGGGATGGAAGAGTGAATGGCCAGAGAGGATGTAAAGAAAGCAAAACGTACTATTTTCCCAAGGAGTTTGTTTGACAAAGGAAGGCCCAATATCTAAAGATTGACATAGGGAAGAGTGAGAGCAAGTGTATATGTTGAGATTAAGAACAAGTAGAGAGGAAAGCTTGAAAATAAAAGATGAAGAAGAACTTGGAGGAATTTTAGGAGGAAACTGCGTGGGTGTGACTTAAAATACAGGTACAAGGACTAGCCTGAGAAAGGAGAAGGGGTTCCCCTTCTTAGGGCAGAACAGAGAGGAATAGATAAGGTTTGAAATAGCTACTGGGAGGAAGGGCAGAGGCAGCAGACCAGCGACAGAATGAGGTCGCCTATGAATTGCTCACTCTCCAGCTGAAATTGCTCCAGCACTCCAGCACCAATGTGGTAGAAAAAGCTGGGTAGCTCGAGTGAACCAGGGCTGGGGTTTTGTCAGCTAGTATAACATGAAAACAGATTTTTGGATTTGCCCAGGCAGACGACACACTTGTGTAATTCCTTGGAATAAATCTCTCTTTTTCTCTCTATAGATAGATACAGATGATGATATAGATATAGATACACAAGGTCATATAGTTAGAACTCATCCTAAAAACAGTGCTACATAACTCAGTGCTAAATATCACTATGGTCACCTTCAAAGTACTCCCCTTGGGAAGCTATGCACCGATGCCAGTGCCTAGTCCACCCTTCAAAGCGATTTTGGAGCCCTCTGGAATGGCCATCAGAGCTGTCATCGTATTACCCTTGATGTCCTGAATGTCATCAAAATGCCTTCCTTTCAATATTTCCTTTATCTTCAGGTAAAGAAAGAAGTCATTGGGGGCAAGATCAGGTGAGTAGGGAGGGTGCTCCAATACTGTTATTTGTTTACTGGCTAAAAACTCCCTCACAGACAGTGCCGTGTGAGCTGGTGCATTGTCGTGATTCAAGAGCCATGAATCGCTGGCAAAAAGTTCAGGTAGTTTTTGTCTAACTTTTTCATGCGGGCTTTTCAGCACTTCCAAATAGTAAACTTGGTTAACTGTTTGTCCAGTTGGTATAAATTCATAATGAATAATCCCTCTGATATCAAAAAATGTTAGCAACATCGTTGCAACAAGTTCAGAAAATTAATTGTCAGATTAACTTCTATATATATCTGATGATATAGATATAGATGATATAGATATAGATAGATGTAGATAGATATAGATATAGATAGATAGATATAGTTATATATCATGGTGGCTGTGTTTCTCTGGTAGGACTCTGATACAGAGTTTAAGTAGCTTATTCAAAGGCATACCACTGGTAAATGGTAGAGCCACTATCCTGACCTGGGTGGTCTGGGCCTTGAACCAATGCTCTTAACCCACCACTCTACACTGCCCCTCCCACAAATTCCAGTCATTATAGGTCTAATTGAATATTCAGAACTTGGCCTTGTGGGAAAAAGCAAAGAGAAAGAAACGCAAAACACACGAATGAAAATAAATATAGTATAGAGGAGTTCGTTATGCATAGGGCTATGCAGAGTAAAGATTAGTGTTAGTCCCTATAGGAGAAATTTTGAGTTACATTAGGGAATAAAAATGAAGAACGTGTATTTATTTGCTTAGGAGAAGAGAAGCACATTGTAAGTGGAGTGTATGTCACATACAGAAGCCCAGTGTAAATCAAGTAGAATTTGGCTATGGCAAGCCTCCAAAATGAAAAGTAATGAGCAAAGTGTATGAAATCTGTATTAGTTATCAGTTGCTGCATAACAAAGAGAGGGCTGCAATCAACTGAAAACTCACTCTCTTACATGTCTGGGAGCAATGCCAGTTGTTTGGGGTTGATGGTCTTTTTAGGTGATCTCTTCACATGAGCCATTTGAGCTTCTTCAAAACATGGTGGCTTGTTTCCAAGGTTGGGGGGGGAGAGAGAGAGAGAGAGAGAGAGAGAGAGAGAGAGAGAGAGAGACAGGGACAGGGAAGGAGAACTGACTATATCACCTTTTTATGATGTATTCCCATCAATATTGGCAATATTTCCTCTACTTTCTTTATTCCTTTGAATCTATTTCCAATTTCAAATGGAAAACAATTACATGTCACGGATGGAGAAAAGCAAGGTTCTGGAGAGCATGTAAAATTGAAAATATTGCAGTGTAAATTTTGGAAAATATAATCTGCTGCACACTAGGTCACGGCAAATGAGTCCCATTGTGAGCTGGGCCAATACCTCTTTTAAATACTTACTGATAAAACCTTGTCAGGGGAAGGAGAAGGGTGTATCACCCTCCTGTTTGCTGTTAGTTCCTTCATCCAACGCTCCTTAAACAGTGTTCTGGCTTTTAAAGCAAACCATTTAATTTCACACCTCAAGCTCAGTGATATGTAAAATACACATAAACACTTTCTGTTGATGTTTTGTCATATCACCAGTGAGGGAGGGGAGAGCTCAGCGCTGAGCAAGTGTGGTCAATACCCAGCTCACACTCTAGGCTGGAATTAAAGTGAGGATAAGACAGGTAAGGTTGTTTTCATTCAACCTGGAAAATGACTTCCATTCATGGCGGAAGCATAAACAGAACCTGAATGCACGTGGTAATTATTCTTCCTGTTGAGGGCACACCAACCTGGGTTTTCTACTCTCATTAAGTGGTGTCATGATAGAACATGCTATCACCACCTTCTTGCCAGTGAAGCTTAAAGACACCACAGACTCCAATCTAGTGATGTATGAATTTTTGCTCTGGTTCAAGGATGCTGTCAAAGATTCACAAGGTTTCCCCTAAACGTAGCTTCTTTACCTTACACTAATTGAAGCTTGGCTAGTTGAGTCACTCCACTCTGCATCTGTGCACTCTTTTACCTTGCTTTTGGAAGGATTGAGCCAATATTCTCACTTTCAGTCTAACTGGAGCCACTGACTTTTTCATGTATGTTCTGACAGCAATAAACACACTTTCTCATCTATTTTTGCACTAATTGATTTTTTCAATGCCACCAACAAGCCACATTGATTGACTCATTTACTTTATCAATTACTTCTACCAACTGCTAAAGTCCTAATAATCTAATATCAAGGATATGAGAATTTTTAGAAAACTGTTGGAAACTGATAGAAAGTTTTTAGAAACAAGATAGAAATCAAAGAGAAAAAAGTAAAGGTACTTCAGAAATTATCAAGCACTGCTATTTAAATAATAGCATATATGAGAGCCCGCCCGTGACCATGGAGGCCAGAGCACTCTGGCTGCTGGCGGTGGTCCTGGCCTTGGGCTTCACCAGCTCATCTGGGGAGTACGTGGGCCTGTCGGAGAACCAGTGCACCGTCCCGGCCAAGGACAGGGTGGACTGCGGCTACCCCCAGGTCACCCCCCGAGCAGTGCAATAGTAGGGGCTGCTGCTTCGACTCCAGCATCCCCGAGGTGCCCTGGTGCTTCAAGCCGCTGCAGGAATCAAAATGTACTTTTTGAAGCCACACCCGCTGCCCCCGGACACCCTGGGAGGTGAACTTCCACACTCGGGCATACTGCCCACTCATCTCTGCTTTCCTACCACCCTGCTCCCGGCAAGACTTCCTCTGAAAGCTGATGCCTCTAGGACCTGACGTCTTAAAGAATAAAGATCCATACTCAGCAAAAAAAATAAAAAAATAAAAAAATAATAACATATATGTGCATACAAACATATATTTATATATATACAGGTATATAAAACTTTTCCATTTTTTTTGTAGAGTTGTATAAATACTTATTATGTGAAGGACCTCCTGGTAGTTGAAGCAGAGGAAGCCGGGAATACTGGGGGACAGTTGTAGGAACTGATGTCAGAGAGGGTGTTGGGGGACAATTCAGGTAGAATCTTGGAAGACCTTAATTGCATTCTAAACACAATAAGACATCAATACAGGGTAATTGGGTTAATGGACAGAGCTTGATTGGGGCAGCTTTGTGTTCTAGATGTCGCTATTACCATTGTACCTGGTTTGTTGCTGTTGTTTAACTTTTCTTTATATTTGCTCTGTATATGATAATATTTCAGGACTTCCCAGGGTTTTTGACCACTTATACTTGAGATTAGTTTTGACCATCTTCCCCTAAAACCCATAGCAAAGGATAAACTTAATGGACAGAAGAGTGGTCTGGGTGACCTAAAAGCCCCATCCAAGCATATAATACCACATAGTATCCTTTGGGAAACTTCCATATATGGGAAGCAGGACACCTAGCAAAAGCAGCCTGTCTAATCCTCGCTATGGTGTTACCTACAATTGGTGAGTGGTGTCTTTCATGTCCTCAATAGAGAGACACATCTCTTATCACCTCCATTTCAGGCCTAGCATCTATACAGAATCATAAACAATCAAGACCTACATCTTAACAATTGATCCAACACACAAATCTCTTGCTCATCTTCCATTTTATTCATTTATCATGCATCTAATAATGAACTGTGTTAACTTCTTTGTTAGCCAAATTTTTCTAATTTGTTATTTTTTTAAGCATCACCAAAAAAATGTTCAATGTCTCTATTACTAAAAAAAAAAAAAAACAGTTGACTAGGAGTGAAAGATTGTTCCAAATCCTCCTAATATAAATTAGCATGCATGTGGTTTAAAATGTGACAGGTAATTGGTTTTCCATAATGTAGAATCCTAGAAAGCTAGTTTACAATGAATAATATATCTGGAAGGCCATGGCCATTAATCTGAATCTCTGGGGCTCTGCTGTTTCAAAGGAGAAAATATATTCTGTATATAATTGCATGGCATTTTCAGTGGCTGCAGAAATAGCACTAACTAAGTACCTTTGATTATAATATTAACAAAAATATTGGTAGGGCACTTAACAATTTTTAGTAAATGTAATACATTCATAGCTGGCAGGATATGCTGGTTTTTAAACATTGAAATGGACTTCTTTCTAATTTTTCTTTGGTTCTGACCTAGAAGTAGAATTTCAAATTTTGCTAGGAAGAAAAGATGCCTACACCAGTGTGAAACATTAGCATCATGCCAAGTATATGAGGAGTCTGTGAGGGAAGTTCAAGACAACTTCTCTCTGTGTCATGTAACCAAAATGGAATGTTTCCTGGGACATCAAACTATGATAAATTATCTGCTCCAGGGTGTTTTTTAAAAAAAGGGGATGTGCTGATTTCAGTTAATAATGTACTCCATTGTTCCTCCTCACTTCTCTGGGGAATATCTCATAACTGAAGGAAGGAAACAGGCAGGAAGCAATTAATTACAACAGAGTCAGATACTTTCAGCAATAGAAGGAGCAAAGTAGAAAACGATCCCAGTTTTCCTAATTCTAGTTCACTCTTTTCACTGATATGCAGGAGGTCCCTGCATCCAGGAGAGGACTTCTTGAACCACAGTGAGATGTATGGCAAGTTACAGGCCATAGAGATTAATTGGTGTAGGTAGCCATCTTGGGCAGGGTTTATAGCTATTTTTAGCGGGATGTTGTGCATATAGGTGGGTTATCTGGTGCAGGGGTCAGCAAAGTGTGGCTTACAAGCCACATGTGGCTCTTTGGGTACCTTCCGTCTCAAAACTTTGCCGACCCCTGGAAGAGCCAATCCTATCCCTCACAACAATTTAAAAATTATTCGAGAGCCATAAATATATTTTTACATAATCACCATTATGTGAGTAATATCCTTTAAACATTTTATAAATGAAACTATGATAGTTTTCTTTTCATTTTCGATTTTACTTCAGGGCCACATGTACATACCCAAAGAGCCACATGTGGCTCGTGAGCCTCAGTTTGCCGACCCCTGGCGGCTCTTCCGTCTCAAAAGTTTGCTGACCCCTGATCTGATGGATTACGGAGTTACTCTTCGAATTTGCAGGCATTGACTTCAGGCTTGTAAAGAAGCAACCCTGTATTTACAAAGTGGCAATTCAGCCACATCTGGAGATAGGGGACCCTGGGGACTGTGTGCAGACAGATCTTATTTGACAACCAAGATTTTTTTAACTTCTGCCCCTGGGGTCACTTGCAACCAGGCAACATATTCCCATGTTGGCTAGAGAGTCTACCATGGCTGCAAACAGGGACATGGCCTCTGCTTGGTGCCTCCAAATATTTCCTAACTTTGGCAAAGAGTCCAGAGGTCATCCTTTCCCTACATCCTGAGGATTGAGCCATATAGAGGCTAAGCATACATTCTTTCATGTTTTTAAACTCTGTCATTGATTAGCTTTTCTCTCTCTGATCGCAGTGCTTTGTGTGCTGTATGCTATTCCAGCCATAACCAGTGGAAGAGAAAAAGGGGCCAACTAAATGTGGCAAAATCCCCACATTTCACATAACTTAAATCTTCTGAGCTAAGCTCTTGTACCTCTCATCAATTATCTGAAAGAATAGGTAGGTGGGATCCTTACTATTTGACTTAGAACCTTGAACCCTTGAAGAGTAGGTCAGACAGAGTATTTTTTTTAAATAGCTCACTGAAATTATATTGACTTACATTTATACAACTCCAGCCACTTATGAAGCACCTACGGTATTTATTTTTTTTTAGCAAAAAAAGATCTTAGAGGGCTTATAATCTAGCACTTTAGTTTTCTAAAAGAGAAAAATAAATCTCAAGGAATAGACTGGCTTTCCCAAGGACGGAGAGTTGACGACAGTTACTTATTCAAGCATTCAACAATTATTTATTTATTGAGTACCTATAACCCCATTTTTGTGATTTAAAGGTGTATAATTTTTCACATTTTGACATCTCTAAAATCAGAGTGAGTCTTAGAATTGTTGTCCACCAGGCATTGACCTCAAAATTTGCAAAGTGAATGTCACCATCTGGGAGAAGAATCTCAAAGACAATAATGGAGTGGTCTTTTAAGAAATACTGCCTCACTAACACCCTAGAGGGCATAGATAATGATATCGTGTGGGAAACTGTGTATACTGGCAACTCTTCATTGAAAATTGATGTTGAAGAGTTGGACTCTGAATGAAAAGTTGTTTTGAGAATTGTTCAACTAATATATTTTGCTTATATTCTCATCTTTAAAGTGATATATATCATAAGATATATGATAAATCTAAGTTCTTTCTAAAGGAATCTAAAAGACTTGTTCTATGAATTAAAATAAAAAGTCTGAAGTGACAGGAAGACATGGTCCCATAGCTTAAATGGTGTCATTTTAAAAAATTCACACATACACAAAATGATTGTGTGTCCTACAATTGATGTTATCCTAGATTCAAGGGGATATGATACATACCTGACTCTCTTCTAAATGCTGGATATTCAGCAACGAAAAAAAAAAAGGGTATTGTCTCTGAAGCTTAAATTCTAGGAGGATAATCAAAAGAAACAAAGAAAATATCAAGTAGTGAGTGATAAAAGCTGTGTAGAGAATTAAAACTAGGTAATGTGAGAGTGACTGAGTGACTTCTTTAGATTATCAAGTCTCATGGAGGTAACTTTAAGCTGAAGGAGTAAATAGTACTAGATGGATGGAAGAGCCAGCATTAGAAGAGTCTCTTGATTAACAGCTCTTGCCAACATACCTCGGTAGGCTGAGGGTATAATTATTGTGCCAAAGCCTATTTACAGTTCTTTATTTCACCCTGGTGGCATAATTTTTATTTCAAAGTGAATATGGTCATTTTACATGGAAATATAACTATCTTAGATGGGTGGTATTTTATTCAAAAACACACACCCAAATTTTGATGCAAGAAATGACATTGGGAGAATAAATCTTGAAAATCCCTGTGAAGTGCAGAAAAAAGAAAGAAGGAAGGAAGGGAGGGAGAAAGGGAAAAAAAAACATCAACCTTTTTACTCATCAACACTGTTACCAAAGCTTTAAATAATTAGACAAAATCAATATCAGAGCTGAAGATATCAATTTTGAGCTTGGGTAAAGGAATTGTTTACTTAATTGGCTTTTTATTATTTTCCTTATTGATTGCTGTTTAGATAACAGGTATTTAAAACCAGGATGTTTATGAAAGAATTAACTAAAAGGTTCTTGGCAGTGACCTTAGTTTTAAAATACCAGGTTGAGATTCCAAAAACAAGCCCACAAAAGAGGTGATAAAATTTAAAAACACCCTAAAATATGGGGATCAAAGAATAATAAAATGTTAATAAAGAAGACATACAAGGCAACTCCTAAGGTAGACTAAAACTCAGCATGACACTAAAATGGTAGTAAACTATTAAAGACACATAAGCACTAAGAGAATTAACTGCTTCTTAGCTTAAACAGCTTTATGCTTAAAAGCTTATCTTGGACTTTAAACAATAGCATTTCGATTTTTTTAAAGAAGAAATCAAAGCCTTCATTGATTTTACATGTCATAAATATTTACTGTGCCCTTATTACGTACCAATCCCTGTGTTGGTGGTGGTAGAACTCTTCCTAATACGCCCAGATCAGCTACAGCAATAGAAAAGCAACTGTAAACAGGTTATTAATAGTTTAATACCTAAAATCTGA